ACACAATACTTAGCTGTGAAATTGAATGGACCATCACTAACCATCAGTGGTGACACCAGGTGTTCTCGAAATGGGTAAACGTGTTCTGGCCAAGCAATAGCACCCGCATACATGTGAATGCAAAGGTGTCCAGTCGCAGTCAGTATATCTGGTCAAATTCTCACTGTTATTTTAGACCCCTTTGTAATGCAAATTATCAACGTGGCATTTCATCATGTCAACATTCCTTTCCAATGTAAAATAACATTAAATGCAATTACACACACATGTTTTAACACCTCCTGTATTTCTTGAAGAGCATACATAGATATGTTTGAGTACTAATGCTAATATCTACAGGACTAAGAACTGCTAGATGCATTCAATCACTTGTGGGCCCTGTTTGTGTTTGGATGAATCGTTGGTGACTCGTTGGACATCATCATCAGAGAGCACAACAAGTGTTGGTATTGAGGGTCAACACGCCAAGTTGCAAACGTCTTTGGTGTCAAACAAATGTGATCGGTGTTATGCTCTGTACGTGCTGATGTTCTTGGATGACAAACACAGTGGCATTAAACACAGGTTTTTAATCAGCCATTACTAAGGGAGGTCAGTACATACTTCCTGGATATAAGGGAGATAACTAGCTACTTCCTGTTGGCTTGTGTCACTCAAGGCTTCAGGAGTTGTCTCCCATATGTCACTGGGGCCATAACATTACATCCCCTTTCTTTTGAACAAAATGTTCGTGTCATAACAACTAGGATATGGATGCTATACTATCAGAATGTTATAGGAGAAGATATCTTGTATATAATGTCAACACTGATACACGTGGGCGTTCACACGTATTGTTACTTGGCACTGGCGGACCAGATGTCTTTGGCACAGTTCAGAAACAAGATCACTACAACCGGTCCGTTAATATTTTCTGGTAACGATAAAGCACGAACTGATAACATGTAAATTAAACAACACTAACTGAGTAACTAAGAACTATCAACTAGGGTAACTTTGCAGTCTATAGGTTCAACTTTTGAGGAGCTCTTACGACTCTTCCAGATCTGGTAACAGTCATTGGTTTGGACGGTGTTGGTTTGGACGATGTTGATGCTGTCACCTTCTGGAGTGGCACTGATGTTAAGTCCGTTGGTGTATCATCGGCATTGCTGCTGGGGTTTCTCATTGGTGTGTGTCTTAGGTGGCGCCTGTTGCGTTGATATTGGGCACCATCTGCTGTCTGCACTTGGTATGAGCGATTTGGATCTGGATCTGGGCTGGCTTCCAGGTTTTGTCAGCGGTCTGCAAATAGATACTGTCATTCATTTGAAGCGGTGGCAGATTCCTGGCGGCTCGGTCATAGAACAGTTTCTGACGGGACTGAACTTGTTCGCGTCTTGCACACACATCGGCAGGTTCGACAACTTTGGGCTGAAGTTGTTTGCCAGTGGTGGGAAGCACTGACCGCAGACGTCGGCTCATCAGAAGTTGCGCGGGCGAAGCCAAGTTGTCAACTGGTGTTGTCCGATATTCTAGCAGTGCAAGGAGTGGATCAATGCCATCCTTGTATGTTTTGTCCAGAATGTTCTTCGATATTTGCACACACTTTTCAGCTAGTCCATTGGACTGAGGATATCTGGAGCTTGATGTAATATGTTTGAAGTCCCATCTGCTGGCGAAGTCTGCAAATTCAGCTGATGCAAACTGTGGACCGTTGTCACTCATCAGGATTTCAGGGATCCCATGATGTGCAAAGTTGACGGATAACTTGCGGATCACTGCTGATGAAGACAGGCTTCTGAGCTGGTCTATTTCGAAGAAACGACTGTAGTAGTCAGCCAGAACGATGTACTCTTTGTTGTTCCTAGTGAACAGGTCTGCACACACCTTCTGCCAGGGACGGCATGGTATTTCATGTGGCTGTAGTGGTTCCTTGCTGTTTGATCTCTGTTTCTCACAGCATACTGTACAATTGGCAACTGCAGCTTCAATCTCTGCGTTCATGCCCCGCCAGAAGAGAATGTCACGGGCTCGTTCTTTGCACTTCTCCATTCCGAAGTGACTGGAGTGGATCTTCTGGAGAAGCTCGGATCTCTGGCCTTTGGGAATGATGATCTTTTCCCCTTTGAATATGAGACCATCCATGACGGTAAGTTGGTCCCGATGATTCCAGTATTCGATGATGCTTTCTGGACATTCGCTTCTGGAATCTGGCCAACCATTGAGGATGGTTGTCCACAGTTGTTGCATCTGAACATCATTATTAATGGCGTCTCGTAGTTGTGACATCTTGTGGTCACTCACAGGGAGATTTGCGAGTACCATATGAACTTGCGCTTCCATTTCTTCTGACATCCCATCATCTTTTGTAGTCAGAAACTTGCGCGAGAGCGTGTCAGCAACTGGTATGTCTTTTCCTGCAACATGGACGATACGTAGATCATACTTCTGTAATTGCAGTAGCATACGCTGGAGGCGTGCAGGTGCTGCCGTCAAAGGTTTCTTCATGATACTTTCAAGCGGCTTGTGATCTGACTCAACGGTCACGGTGTGGCCATAGATGCACTGATGATACCGCTTGCAACAAACAGGATTGCATAAAGTTCCTTCTCAATTTGAGCATAGTTCTGCTCGCTGGGGGTCAAAGCCTTTGAAGCATATGCCACTGGTTTCTTGTCTTGGAGCAAGGTGGCACCTAATCCATTCTTCGAGGCATCTACTTGTAGAGTAATGGGCTTTTTCGGATCAAAGAAGGCGAGGACGGGCTCACTTGTGATTAGTAACTTGACCTTCTCCAGGGCGTCGTTTAGGCGTTTGTCCCAGTGGAACTCTACGTCCTGCTTCAACAGTTCCCTCATTGGGCTGGTGACTTCTGAAAGGGAAGGTGCGAACTTGGCGAGGTAGGTGATCATGCCAAGCATTGTGTCCAACTCTTGTTTATCTTTGGGAGGCGACATTTGCTTGATGGCTTCAACTTTTGTGGGGTCTGGTTTTGTGCCCTCTGCTGTGATGAGATGACCAAAGTAACTGACCTCAGTGACGCCAATGGATAACTTGTCAGGGTTGAGGCGGACGTTCTTTTGTCGACAACGACTTAGTACAGCTTGTAGATTGGCATCATGTTCCTTCCTGGTCCTTCCATGAACCAGGATATCATCAACTATCGCAACTGTTCCTGTGAGGTCTCCAAATGTTTCATCTATCTTACGCTGAATTCATCCTGGGCTGAGACAAGTCCAAATGGCATACGCATGAATCTGTATCTGCCATATATTGAGTTGAACGTTGTCAAGTATGATGATTTCTCAGAGAGTTTGATATTCCAGTACCCAGATCTTGGATCCAGTTTACTGAAGTATTTGGATCCTGTCAGTTTGATGAGCGCATCTTCAAGTGTCGGCATGTGATAGTGTGGTCGCTTGATGGCGTTGTTGAGATCAAGCGGGTCCAGACATATTCGGAGCTTCGCGCTGTGAGGTTTCTCAACGACAACCAGGGAGTTGACCCAGTCTGTAGGCTCGGTAACTTTGGAGATTATGGCCATCTTCTCCATCTTGTCGAGCTCATCTTTCAGCCGGTCTCTGATTGCGATTGGGACGCGTCTTGGTGGATGCACAGAAGGGGTAGCATCTGGCTTAAGATGTATCGAGCATTCACCTTCGAATTCTCCCACACCTGTGAAGACATCCTTGAAGTCAGATAGCACTGATTCTTTTGTCATGGGGTTAGGAGATTCTGCCTTCGGCTGGGCTTCCAGGGCAAGGACAAGCTTAATGAGTTGCAGTGACAAGGATGTTAGAAGGCCTATTACTGGAGGTGCGTTGGCTTCCACAACATAAAAAACTTTCGGTTGCTGACCGTTCCCTGTACTGACACTGAAGTTGAATACGCCCAAGGACTTTGAGAACATGTCCCGAGTAGTTGGTGAGACGCTGATCAGCTTCTTCGAGTGGGTGCTGGACGGGCATCTTGTCGTATTCCTTCTTGGGAATGACATTGACTTGTGCTCCTGTGTCGATCTTGAAGCTGATTGTGTGGTCTCCATCCACACTGATATCGGCAAAGGCTTGGTTGGGGAACTCATTAGCTTCGCCATTGATGACGTCAATATACAGGTCGGTGTCTGAATCTGAGTCCGAAGCATAATCAATAGTGTGGATCTTCTTCTTGCCCCTTGTGTTGTTTATTGGTCTCTGCGTCTGTGTACTGCTGCGGCAGACTTTGGAAAAATGGTTCCACTTCTTGCACTTGTGGCACTGTATTCCTCTGGCAGGGCACTTCTTCTTGTTGTGCTCATGATGCCCCCCACAATTTCCGCATTCATTCTGACCAGATTTGTGTTCTGGACCATGTCGGTATGGGTAGGATCTTGTTCTGTGTTTGTTGATAGCATCAACGTTCTCAGCACTGTGCGAGGCAGACATCAGTTTCAGGTGAGACTGAGTTATTTCGTAAGATCTTGTGATCTCGATGGCCTGCTGCATTGTCAGTGAGTCGCCTTGTGTGAGTAATTTCTCGCACTTTATGCTCTGTACGTGCTGATGTTCTTGGATGACAAACACAGTGGCATTAAACACAGGTTTTTAATCGGCCATTACTAAGGGAGGTAAGTACATACTTCCTGGATCCAAGGGAGATAACTAGCTACTTCCTGTTGGCTTGTGTCACTCAAGGCTTCAGGAGTTGTCTCCCATATGTCACTGGGGCCATAACATTACATCCCCTTTCTTTTGAACAAAATGTTCGTGTCATAACAACTAGGATATGGATGCTATACTATCAGAATGTTATAGGAGAAGATATCTTGTATATAATGTCAACACTGATACACGTGGGCGTTCACACGTATTGTTACTTGGCACTGGCGGACCAGATGTCTTTGGCACAGTTCAGAAACAAGATCACTACAACTGGTCTGTTAATATTTTCTGGTAACGATAAAGCACGAACTGATAACATGTAAATTAAACAACACTAACTGAGTAACTAAGAACTATCAACTAGGGTAACTTTGCAGTCTATAGGTTCAACTTTTGAGGAGCTCTTACGACTCTTCCAGATCTGGTAACAGTCATTGGTTTGGACGGTGTTGGTTTGGACGATGTTGATGCTGTCACCTTCTGGAGTGGCACTGATGTTAAGTCCGTTGGTGTATCATCGGCATTGCTGCTGGGGTTTCTCATTGGTGTGTGTCTTAGGTGGCGCCTGTTGCGTTGATATTGGGCACCATCTGCTGTCTGCACTTGGTATGAGCGATTTGGATCTACTCTGGTGATCTGGGCTGGCTTCCAGGTTTTGTCAGCGGTCTGCAAATAGATACTGTCATTCATTTGAAGCGGTGGCAGATTCCTGGCGGCTCGGTCATAGAACAGTTTCTGACGGGACTGAACTTGTTCGCGTCTTGCACACACATCGGCAGGTTCGACAACTTTGGGCTGAAGTTGTTTGCCAGTGGTGGGAAGCACTGACCGCAGACGTCGGCTCATCAGAAGTTGCGCGGGCGAAGCCAAGTTGTCAACTGGTGTTGTCCGATATTCTAGCAGTGCAAGGAGTGGATCAATGCCATCCTTGTATGTTTTGTCCAGAATGTTCTTCGATATTTGCACACACTTTTCAGCTAGTCCATTGGACTGAGGATATCTGGGGCTTGATGTAATATGTTTGAAGTCCCATCTGCTGGCGAAGTCTGCAAATTCAGCTGATGCAAACTGTGGACCGTTGTCACTCATCAGGATTTCAGGGATCCCATGACGTGCAAAGTTGACGGATAACTTGCGGATCACTGCTGATGAAGACAGGCTTCTGAGCTGGTCTATTTCGAAGAAACGACTGTAGTAGTCAGCCAGAACGATGTACTCTTTGTTGTTCCAAGTGAACAGGTCTGCACACACCTTCTGCCAGGGACGGCATGGTATTTCATGTGGCTGTAGTGGTTCCTTGCTGTTTGATCTCTGTTTCTCACAGCATACTGTACAATTGGCAACTGCAGCTTCAATCTCTGCGTTCATGCCGGGCCAGAATAGAATGTCACGGGCTCGTTCTTTGCACTTCTCCATTCCGAAGTGACTGGAGTGGATCTTCTGGAGGAGCTCGGATCTCTGGCCTTTGGGAATGATGATCTTTTCCCCTTTGAATATGAGACCATCCATGACGGTAAGTTGGTCCCGATGATTCCAGTATTCGATGATGCTTTCTGGACATTCGCTTCTGGAATCTGGCCAACCATTGAGGATGGTTGTCCTCAGTTGTTGCATCTGAACATCATTGTTAATGGCGTCTCGTAGTTGTGACATCTTGTGGTCACTCACAGGGAGATTTGCGAGTACCATATGAACTTGCGCTTCCATTTCTTCTGACATCCCATCATCTTTTGTAGTCAGAAACTTGCGCGAGAGCGTGTCAGCAACTGGTATGTCTTTTCCTGCAACATGGACGATACGTAGATCATACTTCTGTAATTGCAGTAGCATACGCTGGAGGCGTGCAGGTGCTGCCGTCAAAGGTTTCTTCATGATACTTTCAAGCGGCTTGTGATCTGACTCAACGGTCACGGTGTGGCCATAGATGCACTGATGATACCGCTTGCAACAAACAGGATTGCATAAAGTTCCTTCTCAATTTGAGCATAGTTCTGCTCGCTGGGGGTCAAAGCCTTTGAAGCATATGCCACTGGTTTCTTGTCTTGGAGCAAGGTGGCACCTAATCCATTCTTCGAGGCATCTACTTGTAGAGTAATGGGCTTTTTTCGGATCAAAGAAGGCGAGGACGGGCTCACTTGTGATTAGTAACTTGACCTTCTCCAGGGCGTCGTTTTGGCGTTTGTCCCAGTGGAACTCTACGTCCTGCTTCAACAGTTCCCTCATTGGGCTGGTGACTTCTGAAAGGGAAGGTGCGAACTTGGCGAGGTAGGTGATCATGCCAAGCATTGTGTCCAACTCTTGTTTATCTTTGGGAGGCGACATTTGCTTGATGGCTTCAACTTTTGTGGGGTCTGGTTTTGTGCCCTCTGCTGTGATGAGATGACCAAAGTAACTGACCTCAGTGACGCCAATGGATAACTTGTCAGGGTTGAGGCGGACGTTCTTTTGTCGACAACGACTTAGTACAGCTTGTAGATTGGCATCATGTTCCTTCCTGGTCCTTCCATGAACCAGGATATCATCAACTATCGCAACTGTTCCTGTGAGGTCTCCAAATGTTTCATCTATCTTACGCTGAATTCATCCTGGGCTGAGACAAGTCCAAATGGCATACGCATGAATCTGTATCTGCCATATATTGAGTTGAACGTTGTCAAGTATGATGATTTCTCAGAGAGTTTGATATTCCAGTACCCAGATCTTGGATCCAGTTTACTGAAGTATTTGGATCCTGTCAGTTTGGTGAGCGCATCTTCAAGTGTCGGCATGTGATAGTGTGGTCGCTTGATGGCGTTGTTGAGATCAAGCGGGTCCAGACATATTCGGAGCTTCGCGCTGTGAGGTTTCTCAACGACAACCAGGGAGTTGACCCAGTCTGTAGGCTCGGTAACTTTGGAGATTATGGCCATCTTCTCCATCTTGTCGAGCTCATCTTTCAGCCGGTCTCTGATTGCGATTGGGACGCGTCTTGGTGGATGCACAGAAGGGGTAGCATCTGGCTTAAGATGTATCGAGCATTCACCTTCGAATTCTCCCACACCTGTGAAGACATCCTTGAAGTCAGATAGCACTGATTCTTTTGTCATGGGGTTAGGAGATTCTGCCTTCGGCTGGGCTTCCAGGGCAAGGACAAGCTTGATGAGTTGCAGTGACAAGGATGTTAGAAGGCCTATTACTGGAGGTGCGTTGGCTTCCACAACATAAAAACTTTCGGTTGCTGACCGTTCCCTGTACTGACACTGAAGTTGAATACGCCCAAGGACTTTGAGAACATGTCCCGAGTAGTTGGTGAGACGCTGATCAGCTTCTTCGAGTGGGTGCTGGACGGGCATCTTGTCGTATTCCTTCTTGGGAATGACATTGACTTGTGCTCCTGTGTCGATCTTGAAGCTGATTGTGTGGTCTCCATCCACACTGATATCGGCAAAGGCTTGGTTGGGGAACTCATTAGCTTCGCCATTGATGACGTCAATATACAGGTCGGTGTCTGAATCTGAGTCCGAAGCATAATCAATAGTGTGGATCTTCTTCTTGCCCTTGTGTTGTTTATTGGTCTCTGCGTCTGTGTACTGCTGCGGCAGACTTTGGAAAAATGGTTCCACTTCTTGCACTTGTGGCACTGTATTCCTCTGGCAGGGCACTTCTTCTTGTTGTGCTCATGATGCCCCCCACAATTTCCGCATTCATTCTGACCAGATTTGTGTTCTGGACCATGTCGGTATGGGTAGGATCTTGTTCTGTGTTTGTTGATAGCATCAACGTTCTCAGCACTGTGCGAGGCAGACATCAGTTTCAGGTGAGACTGAGTTATTTCGTAAGATCTTGTGATCTCGATGGCCTGCTGCATTGTCAGTGAGTCGCCTTGTGTGAGTAATTTCTCGCAGATTGTTTTTGAAATAATGCCGCAAATGATTCTATCGCGGACCATTTCTTCAGGCTTGTCATATGCACAGTCTTTAACGAGGAGTTGTAGGTGTGTTACGAACTCTTCAATTGACTCTCCCTCCTTTTGCGAACGTGTATGAAACTTGTAACGTGCGAAGATAATGCTTGTTTTCGGTGCTACATATTGTTCAAATTTGTCAAAATGGCTTTGGAGGCTTTTTTCTTCAGTTTCAGACATGGTAAATGTGTTGTAAATGTCCCTACCTTTGGCACCGACCCATATCAGCAAATATGAACACTGTTCTTCTTCACTAACTTTCTTCAAGGGTCCTTTGAACATTAATGTCACATGCTGTTTAAACTTCTTCCACTCTTCTGGTAGATTTTTGGCGCTCCAGTCAATGCAGGGGTTTACTTGTGAGGTAGCCATGCTGATTTGAGCTTGTTCACACTATTGTTCACAAAAACAGTCTCATCCGATTAGAAATCAGCCTTCAGAATGAAATGACACTTGTAGAATGAGCTGCAGGCATGGAACTTGCTTATCCCGCTATTCTGACACCATGTTATGCTCTGTACGTGCTGATGTTCTTGGATGACAAACACAGTGGCATTAAACACAGGTTTTTAATCAGCCATAACTAAGGGAGGTCAGTACATACTTCCTGGATCCAAGGGAGATAACTAGCTACTTCCTGTTGGCTTGTGTCACTCAAGGCTTCAGGAGTTGTCTCCCATATGTCACTGGGGCAATAACATTACTATCGGCAGGGCATGGAGTTCATGTCAATTCTTTGAAAAAGCTACAGAAAAAGACATGCAGGTGGCCGACAGCGTTTTACCACAAATGAGAAGAAAGGTTTCTACAGTTTGCAGCTGGACAACGTCATCACTTCAGAACTGCAAAACACTCAGTAATGGCTTGCGGAACGCCAATGGGTTAACTTTCCTATTTCAGACAGTGCGTAAACATCGTTGTCATGCGGGTTTCCACGGAATGACAGACATGCACGATGGGGCTGGCTGAGAAACATGCCAATTCGGTAAGACAGGACAGGACTTTTCACCGATAAATCGAGATACTGTCTAGACTTTACGGATCGTTGCCCCTGAGTCTGGCGTTGACAAGGAGAGAGATTTCAGGATTCTAACGTAGCCAGAAATGACCGAGATGTATGTGTGTGTGTGGAACCAACTACAAGATGACGATTTATATGTGTACGTGAGACAGAATACTGGTGGAATTAAACCACACTTAATCATCATGGATATAGCAAGATCTAATCTTGATACCTTCTTAGAACAGGTGCCCTCAACCCCTTCGTACCAGCTGCAGATCGCTTTCTTCGACTCCAAGTCTTTCCGATTGCTCTACAGGACCTCGGTAACAGAACCACCCAGACACTTCTTCAGAGCATTAGACGATTCTGCCAGGCCATGATCGCATGGCGCGAATCATATTTTGAGAGTCATTACTTTTTGGACAATTTGTGATTATTAAGTTTATATGTTATGTAAGTTGTATTGTTATTCTCTCATTTTGATGGGTGATGTGACTGATTATTGGTCACATGTTGTTTGTTGGCAATGTTCGGAAATTGTCTGGTGGCGGCAAACTGGGTTCAAATGCATCTTGTAAGCATTGACATTATTTTGCTAATACAGGAAAACTGTTATGGCTGAACACTACATGATTGGTAGTTCAGAACTTTTTATCACTCCTAGCTGTTGACTGTAATGACAAGTATGATACTAATAACAGAAGTCAGATATGAGTACGGTAGCTCACTATGTATACCAAGCGACACACATAGCCTGCAGTGAGGCTTTGTGTTTTTCAGTACGTGGTATAAGGATCCGCCGACAGTAACATTAAATATATCAAATACGTTGTCTGTAAACTCGTTGAATTAAAGGGTCAACTTTCCTCACTACTATAATTTGTTTATGCAGTATACCATTTATGCAGAGCAGGACTAAGCGCCAAGCTTATCCACGTTTGACTTCCATCTTCGCAGACATGTTATTGTTTCACTAACAGGAGGCATTGTCGAAATTGCCCTGCCTTTCCGAATTGACGCATCACAGTGTAGAAACAATGTTGACATTTCTATCAGCCATCGACATAACCCCTGGCAGTAATTATCTCAGTGCAAAAGGTTTGGACAAACGCTTCGCCACGTTTTATGAACTAAGTCTTTGAAATAAATGTAACATACGCTTTGATGTCAACGACTGCCAGACTGAGTGTACACAGTATATCACACAGATGTTTTAGAAGCGCAATCTCGGGTTTAAACTTTAGGTATAACATCGCCTTGATCAGTATTTCAGTTACTCCTTGACGTGTCAGCTTTACGCATGTGGACGGAAAACCCATAATGACAAAGATCTTAGACGTTTATCACTAGGTGATACTAACGAACCTACAGGCCGAGAACTACAATACAGTTTCAGCTGATTCTCACTAAAGTAATGTCCTGAATGATACTATAAAACGATACTATCCAGACTAGTCCACGCCTTTCCATCTTCTTTAATTTTCCATTCAAAAATGGAGAGATGCATGCACACTTATTGATTTCTGTAATGTCTCATTGCTGTAGTTTGCCGACGAACTGACACTTGTTGTCAAACTGGGCATTACAGCACCAATGATCATGACAGCTTGTCTTTGTTTTAACCACGAAACCATCAATTACACTCTGCTACAGTCAGTGATTCATGATCAGTTATGACATTTAATACTAGAAGTAACTTAGGAAATTAAACTTGTCCCTCCGCTTCGTCGATCGATGAGCAAGTATGCCCGTATTGGAAGCGTCTTCACCACTACCACAAAGGTCCTCGGCACAGTTCGGCTACAAGAGCCGTACAGGTAATTGTCAGCCTAAATACAAATGGACTGATTCTTTACGGTTGTCTTGAGGCACCGTAGACCCAAACGTAAAACTGAAGTTTTTTATCTGTTGTGCAAAACACTGATA